CCTTGATACATAGTAGTAGATACATAGATTGTTTTTAAAGTAGTACTGTCAATCGTTGAAGGGAAAAGTATGAAGAAATTTGCATTAAGATAAATTATTAGTGTAATAAGCACATTCTTATTTTCGCAACTATGATGTTGTATTAGTAAAATTCATAATAGAAAAGTGCCACTTTGAAAACCATTGGTTTGATCAAACTTTATTTATCTTTGGATTTTCATATAGTAAATAAATATTGGGGTATAGAAAACCTATATCGATCTCACCAATAGCGCAGTGGTATTCGCACCAGTCCATTAACTGCAGGTTCTCGAGATCAAATTCTGTTCAGGTCAATAAAGCATTATGTTTAGTGTTATATAAATACCATAAAATAAAATATTAATGCAAAAGTAATTTGCTTATTTTCATAATATTTGAGTTTTAACAATTGAAAATAAAGGAAAAAAATATCGCTAATTTTAAATATTTAAAATAAAGAAAAGCTACGGGAGACTAGTTAGCATCCTAATTAAGTTTGATCTCTTTATGAAACTAAAGTCCGGCTTCCCTTGCTTGTGAATGAAAAAAAGAAACCTATGTAAGTAATTTGATTTCGAGGATAATAGTAATTTTAGTATTTTTTCCGAAATAAAGAAGTGAATAGCTTGTAGATTAAAATTGAAAGCCAAAAGACAATTCTAAACACTTTAAAGATGGCTTTAAAGGCTTAAAAAGAAAAAAAAATTAAAGAGCTATTTAGATTTTAAAAGTGTGAAGGGTAGTAACATTCTATAGAATAGAAAAACTTTTTAAAGAGATCGATGATCCTTTTAATCACTGAAAATCTAAGACCTGTGAAAATATGAAAAAAAAAACCCAAAAGAATTTTAACACTTTTTAACTGCTTCCCTTTTTTCTTTGTGCCCCAAATATCGTATTTTTTTTTGTCTTTTTATAAATATATGTAAAACTTTAACTAAAAAAGAAACAAAAAATAAAAATAAATCAAATGAAACACAAAAAACCAATTCAAAACTTACTTTTTATTCATAACAGTTTTCTTTTATTTTCTCTTTCTTTTAGGAATTTTCATGTTTTATGCACTCATTTTTCCTTTGACTACAACACCAAGAAAGAACAAAAGTAGCATAAAACAGAGAGAGAGGAGCAAAACAAAAAATGAGAAGTACAACAAAAAATAAATCAGAAAAAAAACCGAAAAGGAAGTGAATGAATAAAAAACAAAAAAAAAAAAACGAAGACAAGACCCTTGGGTAAAATACGAAGGATACGTTTCGAATAATTCTTGTCGAATTTAATTTTTTATTTTTTTATTTTAATTTTTCAAAAGAATAAACTGCTCACAAACATTTGCAATAACAAGGAATAAAAACAAAACGCAAGAATAATAACCACAACAAAATTATAAAATTCTTGCATATCTACATACAGCATTTACTTACATCTAGAATATGTAACATAAATATAACAGTAAATGTTTCTGTTATATCACTGTTACGCTATGGAATTCAATATCCTTCATTCACAATATATAATATTATTATCATAGCTGACACAATCACAAATGAGCTTGTTATCGGAAAAATTTGGCATCGCAAGAACAAAATTTTAGGAGAATTTTGATAAACGAAACATGAAGTAAAGCTAAGGGCATAAAAGTATCTTGTTGCACTGTAAAAACTAGGTGTTATATAATATTAACGATAAATAATATATGCGAAGTAAAACACTAGCATTTCAGTCGTAAACAAATATTGGAACTGAATATGAAGTGAAGAGAAAAATATACCCAACAAAATATTAAGAGGACAATAGAAGAGAATTTTACTATACCAATTCGTCATAAATCCGTTAATAAAATATTTTCGGTTTTCAAACTACAAGAGTTCATACTCTATAATATAAAAAAATTATCGGCTCCGTTCAAAAAATTATAAAACTAAAAATAATACAAAAACGAGAACAATGCAAAATATTACAAATTTAAAAAAGAGAAGAACAAACAGAAATATAAAGAACAATAAACCATCACATAATACGAAAACGTGTTTATAATAATCACAGAATTAAAATACAAATAAAAAAACATATTAAATAAAAAATCACACAAAAAAAAAATTTTTTTAGGAATATTATTTTGTAGGCCACTTTTAAATAAAATATCCTAAGAAATCCTTACGTGCTTTATTTCTTCCTTTTAAAGTAGAAATTCTAGGAAAGCACAAAAAACTAGAAAAATATAATATAAAAAATCTGATGTGGTCAGCACATAACCGTCCACAATGTGTATTGTCTACTTTACTAAAAATGTTGCACAAGATTATGAAAATGCCTTTTAAATAATTCTTTCAAATTTTAAGGATACTAGTAAACTTTTAGATAACATTCCCCGAGAAATGTAAATTTGGCTCTTAGTAGGGTTTCGCTTTATGGTTTGTCTGTTAGCTGCGATAAGAACTAGAACTCAAATATCAAATTTCAAGAAATTCCAACAATTAATTCCTTAGTAAAAAATGTAAATTCGGCTGTTAGTTCGGTTTCCGATCCCTCATTTTTCCAAAAAAATAGGTTCCTTGCTTTCAACTGAAATGTTAAATTTTAAGGACATTAGTTAATTATCTCTTTTTGTATGCCCAATTTTTGTAGATAAAAATGCCCTTAAAAAAAATCCAAAAAGTTGATCAATCCGTGACGTACCAAATTAAAATCACATATAAAATTTCATTAAAATTGGTTCAGTCGAACTTAAGACACATACCCTACATATACACACCGACATCTTGCTAAAAATAGTTTATTTCCACTTAAATATTATGGAGAAGTGTATGTTCCACCGAAAATTCGATATTCAAAATTTATTGCCATCACATAACCACCCTTATTGTGTGTAAAAACATATGTAAGTTTACCATATTTCTATATATAATGTTATGTAATTCGCATACAAAAAGAGAAAAGAACAAAATTTTCTATTCCATTGTAAAGGGAGAACTTATAGGATCATAAACCAAGATAAAATTTAATGATAATATGAACGTGTGTATGTATGGATAACAAAATTATGATAGGACTTAAAAAATTAGGAAAAAAAATTTTTTTTTTCGTATTGTGTTTTCTATTCCGGAAGCCTTTGGGATTGTTCTTTTAAGGTTTTCGGTTTAACCAATATTTTTTAATTTTTTTCGAAAATCTAAAATTCCCAAATTTTATAATCATTCATAAAAATAAAAACAAGCTGTAGATATAAGTAAAATTTTATTTTGCTCATCTTATATATGGTGTGTTTTACACACTTACATAATATTATATAATAAAAATAGCGTCCTAGTTGTAAAAATAGTTTCACCATTATAATTTTGTTTCCATCCCATTTTAAATATTTCTTCTTCTTTTCTTCCCATTTGCATATTGTTCAACCGACGTATATAAAATTTTTACGAAAAAAAAAAATTACTTCTAAGTTTATGTTCTAACTCATCAAGTTTGCAAGGATTGAGTGCATTTAAAAAAAAATTTTTTTTGTAAAACTCATTTTAGATTTTTATACTTTTAAAAAGGAATCACATTAAAATTGTCGTTTTTGCTGCAATTTCTTATTTCTACTACAATTTTGCATCTTTTACTACGATACTGCAATTTCAATCCATTTGCTGCAATTTTTCCGTTTCCAAAAAACAAAATACAATTTCTATTTTCCTGTTTTAATGTTTCAAATCAAAATTTTTAATGTTACAGGATAATAAGCTTATGAAGTTCAATTGGGAAATTATTTGAGGACTTAAAAGCGCAAATAAATAAATTAATTTACTAAACATCACTACTGGGAAAAAAATCACCAGATTCTAAGAATAAAAAATTTATAGTATCGCTCTTGAAATCGAGAAAGTATTCGATAGTATCTAGCAAAGGGGACTGGTCCACAAAATACTAAACTTTGAATTTCTCCCATATAAAGTAAAAATCATAGACAGCTTTTTTTTTTAAAAAAAATTGAGAGTTAAAATTAATTACAAAAATATTCTGTGTGGACTGCCCCAGATAATCCTTCAATATAATAATATTTTTATTATAAATATACTATTAATAAGTATAATAACTTCATTATATTGAAAAGCGATTGGAAAACAATACCTATGTATACTCGTACTAAATATTTTGTTGTTATACTAAACGGTTTCCATAAATTTAAAAAACTATTCATATATTTATATAACGTGTAATATAAACGAATTTACTGCAAGTGCAACATCTTCTCCACTGCAACTTCAACTTATAAAACGATAGCACTGGCCAGCACTTTAAATTTCTCCAACATCTTTTCCACAGCAACTACAAATTATAAAACGACCGATTTGGCTAGTACTTTACATCTTCTCCACTGCAACGCAATATTAAAAAACGAAAGCACTGTCTATTACTTTACCTACTTTGATAGAATATCGGTATGGTTGATGAACGCATATAGATAAGAGAACACAACTTAAATTTGATATTACAGAAAAAAAGTAAAATCAAAATAAATTTTTCGTTCTATATTAAAAGAAAAAACGAAAAACAGATTTTATGGAAAATGTAAATTATTATTACAAAAGGCATTAAACTTATTCTCGTTCTATACAACAACACTTAATTTTCGAAAATCATATAAGCGAAAAATCTTGGAAAAATTCTAACGTTGTTTTAGTAAAATTTTATATTGAAGTGTTTAACATTTTTTTTTTTTTTTGTTACTTTTCATAATAGTAATATTTTGTTTTTTTTTTTTTCGTTACCCATTTTCTTTCATTTTTCTCTTCATATTATAGAAATTTTATCCTTTCTGTTCACGGATACTTAACAGTTTTGTTGTTATTTTTTAATTTTTCTTTTTATGATATTTTATGAATTCGTTTTGCTCCTTAGAAAACATTTCTATTATGTGTTCGATTAAAATATCAAAAAAAAAAGAAAACAAAAATAATAAAATTCTTTCTTTATTTTTTTTTTTTGGTAAACAGGACACGTTTTTATTGAATAGAAAACAGAAAAACAAGAAAAACAAAGAAAAAATGTATAGATAAATAAAAAGAGAAGATATAAAATAAAGAATATAATAATAGTTATAATAATAATAGTAGTAAGAAAAAAAAATGAAAAGGGAACAATGATTATAATATGATGACAAGAAGCAAATCGCTGGTTAAAAAAGAAAAAACAAGAACAAAACAAAAAATAATTTTTTTAAACGATGATAAAAAAAAATGTAAAAAATAATATAATAAGAAAAACTAACAACACATAACTAGTAAATTGACAAAACATAAGAAAAACAAAATATAAACAAAAATATTATAATACAAAACGGTTACCAAATACTCTTAAGTAACAAAGAAAAAACAGAAGCACAAGAAGAGAGAGAGAGAGAGAGCAAAAGAATAAACAAACAACAAATAATACTATTATAACAGTAACAAGCAAGCAAATCTTGTAAAATGTGAAAGCAAATTATAAACTTACAAAATATGCATTAAAAGAAGACAATATAATCGGTTACAACAGAAAAAAAAACAAAAAAATATAAAAAAAATAAAAGATAAACTAATAAAGATGGCATATTTAAAATTTTTACAATTTACAAGAATGTCAAATCAGTTCATTTTAAATTTAATGCGCCTTATTTACTTTGAAATCGTTTTTATAACGATATTTATGGGATATGCAAATGCTAAAATTGGTAAGTTTTTATTTTTTCTTATCCTTTTTTTTAACATTATTACATTATTATATTTTCACTGTAATAAGAATAACATAATTTTATATTCTATATAGAATTAACCGATATTTTAATGTAGGTGTACAGAGTGTTTCGAATAAGGTGGCATATAATTTGATCAATTTCTAGCAAAAAATTGTATAAGTGACGAGCTGCAGAATGTTGAAAAAAAAAGATATCAGATTTTCCCTGCATTTAAATGAAGGCTTATAACTTTGGAACCGCGCGACATAGAGCTACCCTCTGCGACTTGCTTTACAAGAAATTTATTGCTCTTTGCTTTCGGCCTTACAATCGATTTAATAGGAGACATAATTTTCCAGATAATGCTCGTCAAAATCAGAATTTTTATTTTTCATTTTTTAATTTCTTTTTTTAAAAACTCGAAGTTTCTCCAAAATTTGTGTTATTACTCTTTCTTTTTTTGGTTTGTTCGATGCGCCAGAATGTGATCAAAAAGTTAACTCATATAACATGTTCTTGTATCTCTCATAGTTTTCCCAGTAAAACGTGTTAAATATGTTTTAAAAATAAGCAATTGTTTTACATCGCTTTGTTCGGAAATCAGATTCCCTCATATATATAGGTCTCAATCTCTATAATATAAGTCTTATATAAAGGCTGATTTCGAAAACAGTAATTTAGTATAATTTTTAATAAACAGTATTTATGTTAAGCTTCTATCATTTTCGAGACAGAAGTTGCAAGCAAAAAAAATTTTGGCAACAAAAATTTTCTGAAAATTCGTTTAAATTTCTGAATACTAGAAACTTTTGAGATTTAACACCTTGTTCCAAACAAAAATTTTTATTCATTTTATTCATGGCCTAAAACCTTGAGTCACCTTGTATTAGGAGCATATATATTTAGTATGTTTTTTATGAAGAAAATATTTTGTGAATTTCTATATTATGAAGTCACGATTTGATAATTTTTAAATTTTTACAATTTAAATTTTCAAAAACAGAAAGAAACGAAAAAATTCAGGGAAGGAAAGTTTTAAAATTCCTTACAGAGGTGGCTTTTTTTTGGGGCAAAAAAAAGAAAACGAAAGTATTGCTTTTATTATTTTAAATATTATTAAATACAATTTTATTTTAAAGATTTTTTTTTCTGTCCAACGTAAAATATATATTTTTTGTAAGTAAAATCAAGTAATATGGGTAATTTTCAATTGTAGGCAGCGAAGGTTAACTCTTAACTGATATCTGAGTATAAGAAATGACTAACTTAAAACCCATCAATGTTATTCACAATTATTTTTTTGTTTACATTTTTAATTTTCGTGTATTCTTCAATTAGAAAACAATTCAGAATATAATTAAGAATACACCCAAAAACCAAAGTTAATGGGCTTTTAATTTTTCCACTTAAATTAAAAGTAAATTAAAATGATGAAGTGTGTACTTTCTATGATAACTTGGAATTGGGAGATGATGCGTACACAGTCATAAACGAAATTTTCCGACTTCTCCAAAATTAAGCATGCTTTTTTAACAGTTTTTTTCATTACTTGATAATGTTGTGACTAGTTGAAAGTTGATGCTATAATATGGAACCCAGAATTTAAAAGAAATTATTTTCCGTTTAGCATATTTTATTGCAACACTTGCAGTTGGTATAGGTATATTTAATTATTTTGGGTGCTCACAGTTCGCACATAACAGCTCCTTCATACTTTTGTACCTTTCATTTATTAAAATATCGGATTACTCTTATATCACATTATCAGATATATTATATAAGAAATAGAATATTTCTATATTTGTCGCTTACTTCAAATTAAATTTTACTGTTAACTTTATTACTCAAACAGAATGTGCAATAATACTGTACAGTTTAGAGTGGAACAATATGCTTTTCTTTTCTTTTCTGAATTGCTTTTATAATGCTTTAGATATTGTTATATAAAAATTATAATTTTAATAGGTTTTTGTTTTTATTATTGCTCTCTCTAATACAGTTAACAACATTGATTTGTTCATATTTATATGTGTGTACACATTCAAAATTTTTGTTTATGCTTAATAAGGGAAAAACCTATAATAGTACGTTGCGTATTTTAAAGAAACGGAGGAAACGGAAATTATGTAATTTTTATTTTTATAATTTTAAACGAAAAACTGGTAGCATACTAATAAGTCATAATTTTTAATATCACTTTTAATATTAAGAAAGAAAAAATGTAACAGGATTTTTTATATGTAAATGGTTGAAAAATGAAATAAAAAACAAAAACAAAATAATTATTAATAATTTAATTTGTTATATAGATTTTTTTGTTAGATGTTAGAGTACGTATAAGTAATAATGAGAAATGGCCCGTAAAGAGGATTGTTAGCATCATACTGAAAGTTGGATGCAATGTTAGATTCTTAGCTTGTAAATAAAATTTGTATAAAATCGATATTGTTTAAAGGAAAGTGATTATTAGAGAATGAAAATTAAAGTGTGATTTAGCTTATACAACAATAAATATATGTGCTTTTAACTCAAACTATTCGATAGTCAAGCTGCATTATGAGAATGAAGCAACTCTCTTGTACATTTTCAGAAAGTCTTACTTAAGGAAAGAAAATATTAAGCGTTAAATTATTGCATTATTTATAGCTGAAAAAGGGTGCTTACAAAAAGGTCAATCAGTATATTCATATCAAATGAAAATATTGAACATACCTAAAAGCCTATTCTTTCAAGTATCACTCAATTGAAGAAAAATTTTCGATTTTTAATTACCTCTATTTTAAGATCTCTTCTTGCATTTTTACTCCCGACATATGTGCCTTAATTTTATTAATTTAAAAAAAATTAAAATCAAAAAATTTTGTAAGGAAAAAAAAAATTTGCACACTTGAAGTCATAAATTTTGTTTTTATATTAATACATTGTGCATATAAAATGTTTGTGTATTTTGACCGTATTTGTTTGTCTTAAATAAAGTATAACCACAAATAATACTTACTATTTTTTTGAGCGGCAATTAAATGTGTACAATTTTTTTCGGATCTAAGTAGTCTAGTAAGGTAATATATTAAAAATATTAATTATTATTTTAACTAAGTAGTCAATGGAAATTAATATTTTTCATTTGATGAATATTTCAAATATAAAAAAATTAAAAAATTTCAAAATTAGAAAAATTCAGTTCAGTTTTAAAAATTTAATATGGTTATTTATTTTTTACATATTAAAACTGCATTACTGGGTACGGATATTTTTGAGTTACAAGAACATACATATGCACATATAAAAAATCAGAAAATAATACGCATACGTGTTTAACTTTTGCTAGAATATATTGCCCGCTAGTCACAGAATTTAGCAGAGAGTAGCTATTAAGGAATGCAAGCAACAGGAAACAAAGATAAAATATTGAGATATAAGTTGCATACTATTTTTTTTTCAATTGAAGTTAAGAAAAAAAATTTTTGTTGGAACGGAACATAAAGTAGGGTTATGTGTTATAATAGCCATAAAAAGATGAGGAAAATTTGTAGAATTTTGAATAATTATCAATTAATGTTCAAGTTTAACTGGCCTTAGAAAAGTTTAAAACGTTCTTCAAATAAATCAAATCGAAAATCAAATTGAATTTTAAAGAAATTGATATGAACTTTGTGCTACAGAAATTCTGGTGATATTCTGATGTATAACAGTAAGTTTTCAAATACTCGATGAATTTGATTAATAACATTCTTTAATTTTACATAATATTTTCATTATGAATACATATATTTTTTATTTGAACCTTATTAAATCAATTTTTCAATAATTTCGGTCTTCCCATCCTACAAATTAATATATTCTTCACCTTTTACATAAAAAACCCAATTGTTACATGTTCAGTATAAGAAATAAATTGGTATCCCACATTATCCGCCTATACGATATTACCCGCACTTACTCTACAGCTTATGCAAAATTCAATTTAAAATAAAGCGAAGAAAAATTATACAATAAAACAGTCAACTGAAATGTAATTTCTATCACAATTTCGCTTTTGCCTTACTCGGTCCTTAAACGATTTAAACCTTATTTCTCAGTTAAAATATCAAGAATTGTTTTAATATCAATAATGTTGTTTGGAATTATTAAAAAAACTAATACTCGTATATAAGAAAAAACTGGAAATTCACATTCATTTTAGTCTTGGAAATTTTAAGATTTTATAGAAACTTTTATTAGAAAATCTTAGAAAATTTTTCCAAATTCTCCCACACATTCGTTTGTTTACGAAAATTCTACACATCTTAAGTTAAAAAATTGCTAATATATACAATTCATTTGAGAATTCCACTTCTGGAGCTGAATATTTTTGCAAAAAAATTTACATTTTAAAATAGCTATTCATTAAAAAATTAATTTTTCCCAACATCTAAATTTTCATCCCAGCTATGATTTTGTTAAAAATTATTATTAAAGAATAATTTTATTATTATTTTGCATGAAAAATTTAAGGATTTTTTCGGTATACCAGTAATCAAAAAATTCCTGTTTTGTAATTTTTAATAAAATAATTGAATTTCTAAGTTATTATTATTTTTCTACATTGAAATAGAAAATTTAATTTAAATTCTTTTTAATTTTTTCTTTAATAATTTAAAAATCAATTTTATTTTTTAATGTCTTTTCAATTTTCTTCAGGACAATAAAATTTCATTTTTTTCCCAAAAAAAAAAAGCTAAAACGGAAAATTAGAAAAGTAAACAAAAAAAAAATTTTTCCTTATGCCTGCCCAACCGTTTATTCCTCGCACTTAATTCATAAAGATCAAAAACAGTAAACTTTTATATTTTTACAAAAAAAAAAACATTCATTTCCTTATTTCTGCTTTAAGATCACAGGACGAAAACTTTTCTTCTAATAATAATTTTCCAATTAATTTTTTTGCTTTTACTGTTATTACTTTGGTTATGTGTTTTTGTTTTTTATTATTATTGTTTTCGTCAATTTAATTTTCT